CGCTGCAAACCACTCTTTTGCTGAGGCAAAAATGGAAAGATTGACAGCGATAGCAACAGTAACCGAGGGGGGCGGGCCTCGGCACTCAGAGCACCCTCTAGGCCCCACACATTTTCCTCTACATGAACTATGTGTGCCTCTTTCCCTCCCCTTTCCTTGTCTCTCGTACACACACACACACGCACGCACACACATTCCTGCAATTAATGTCAGGACTTTTCTTACTCTCTGAAGCTATGCATCAAGCAGAATAGAGAGCTGACCTCAGTTCCTTTCAAAAGGAGCCTCTAATCCAGCGTTCTTAACTCGATTACAGAGTGTCAGAGGGATCAGAGAAACTCTCTCACCTGTCATCTATCAAAATGACGAGACACTCTGAGCTATGAAATCCCGCCAGTGGGAAAGCAGACAGAGGAGAGCAAATGAGAGCGTGACAAAGAGTGCTTCATACCTTTCTACACGAGTGAGAAATTGCAAAGGTTCAACCTGCACACTTAACTTAGTAATATTAGAAAATCAGGGATTCCTAATTAGTAGATTCTAAATAAGTAATTGAAGACAATACTACATAATAAATTAATAGCAGAAAACGGCAATTTTTAATGTTAAGTTCTCTTGAGAACAGACTTGAAATTGCATGTTAATTAATAAATTATGAATGTTTATATTTCTAAATTTTTCTTGTGTATTTTTTTCTCCTGATTATCAGATACTGAGCAAAAGCGATAGAAGAATTCTATCTATGGATTTCTTATTTTTATATACCGTGTCTGATTGGTTGGAAAGAAATGGTTGCAAAATCCAAACAACCAGGCTCACATCTGTCTTTTCTCTGGAAACAAGGCATCTATTAAAAGTACTGAAAAAGACAAATATGTGAAATACTTTTGAAGGTCTTGCCTTTTTTACAGTGCACTGTGTACACCCAGGGTGGGACCCTCTCATCATGACCTTAGTGTATCATTTCAGTCGCCATGGTCCTTTAATGGATGGTTTCGCAGACTTGTGGAGGGGAGCGAGTGACCACCACAGGAGCCTGTGATGTTGACTGATCAACTCTCTCTCGCTCTTTCTCTTCCCTTCGCTTGCTCTTGCCGGGTATGTGCGAAAGCAGGAAGGAGCACGATTCACCGGTGGCTCATTAAAAGCCATTAAGGAGCAGCACGCAGACAGGATGCGGGCAGTGAATAGAGGAAAGCAGGGCAGAGCTATGGACACTGTTACTCACTCTACTCCCCCACCCCACCTCCCATGCCTCCTCTCCATCACACACACACACACACACCCATACACATTTGCACTCTGTTATCTTCTCCACACAGCACTTCCTATGGCCCCACACATATTCCAACTAGCCCCTGCTCTTAGCTCTGCCAACTCGCGGTTCACACCCCTCTGACCTGAGCGTGTGATGAACAGGCATGGCGATAACACATTTTTCACTTTGCTGCTCTCGCTATCTCTTTGTCTGACACCTTATCTCTTGTCCACTCTCTTTGTTTTCACATCACTTTGCCCTTTCTCACCTCATATTCTCCATCTCGTTTGATAGTGGCCATCTTTTTTGGCACAATGCTTGCACCGATGGAGCGGAAAAGCCTTGATAAACGGGCCCAGAACACAGCCTGGCATACTGTCTGGGACCTCTGGGTCACAGAGTTATTTAGAAAAAGAGGCCTGTTTAGTGGGATTTTAGTCCTATGGCGTCAAACGGGAGCTCCACCTGAATTTGACCTTGAACCTGGGAGGGTAGGTATTATCTGCTGTCCTGACTGATGGATAAATTGGGATCATCCTTTGGGTATTTTCCAGGGAACTAACTAAGTTTGTTAATATAGCTTCACTGTTTTTTTTTTTTTTTTTTCGACCATAGCTTCCCATTGAAAGGAATGTTAATGAGTGAAATTAATCAGTCCAACTGTTGTGTAAAAACTGAAACATTGAGCTAAAAGACCACAGAAAGCCCCATAAGATTTGTCAACAAATGGAGCCTGTGGGCTCGTCATCATCAGTGACCACTTTCACACTATGTGTTTCTACACCATAAATATGTTTGTTTGTGTATTGTGTGGTTTTCTTTAAACGCCGATGATTTCCTTCCACAATTAATAACTCAATTTGCATTAAAAACAGTGTTTTTGTTTGGGCTCTGAGGAAATCCGATAGCATACCCTTCCTGCATTTGGTGGTCCATCAGGTCTCCCTTTCTGAAACCACACAATTGGCAGCTCCCTCCTGGTCTTTAAGCTTTTCTTTAGCTGGGATCCTGGAAAATGCACGCTTCTTTCCCCAATATACAAATGAGCATATACAACGTTGGAAGGTGGTACATCGTAATCACATGGACTAATCACCGCGTCATTATCATAATTAAAGACATTCTACTGTGTTCACGTGTGTTCACTCTTTGTTTGCCACATTATTGCTTTGATTCACTGGCACGCTGCAGAGCTCAGCTTCAACACTGGCTGTGTAAGTATTTTGAAACTCCTCTGTTGTGTTTCACTCTAACACTGAGCTAAGAGACGTACTGGCACTGTTCAGACTAAAAAAAAAACGCTGGCTGTGGTTTGGAGTAGAATGGCTGAGGATCCCTTGCCAAAGACAAATATAAATATAGCAGCGTCATTATCTGCAGCAGTTAACCAGGATCATTTTCCCTCTCCTGCTCGCACGTGCTGCTTGCAGGTGTTGCCATAGCAAGTAATCCTGTTTATTCAACTGCCCTCCTCTCGCTCTCAACAGAAGTTCCACATTGGTGTTTGCAGGGTTTAGGAAAATCAAATGGAGGGCAATCAGTCTGTTTTGACAAGGCAAAACTCTGCTAGCCTTGATGAGTGCTTGGTGCAGATTTCCCAGATGCGGCTAATTAAAATATTTGTTCGCACATAGGGCAGGTGTGCTATGTGTAACATGGATTTCGGTTGAGTTGATAAATTTTAAAAGAAAATTTGGGACGATTGTGCAAGTGTAGTCAAATAATTTTGAATCCAGCAGCTGTATTTACATTTCGTATGAGATTAAATTAGAACTCTGCAGTGATTCACACGAGGATTTTCTCCTGCTGTTGCCCGTTTCCAGAGAAATCGGAGTAGGGGCTTGGCTACACATTAGTTCAAATGATTATTACTGTAAGTTAAAGCTATACTTCAGATATTTGTCACCACAAAGGACTGAGCCTGTTTCTTCTTAAAACAAATCAAATGGCTATCCTGCTAAATAAAAATAGCTGTGGTAAAAGGGCAACACAGACTCAGCCAAACAATGCATGTAGTGAAAGACATGGAAGCTGATCTGATCCCGTCCTGTTGTCACGCAGACGTGAGATGACACAATATAACACAAGCATGAGAGATTTCTATGAATGGGATAACTACGAGAAGATGTGTCCACTGAGAGACAATAAAATCACCATCCAGAACGCATTTATCGCCACAATCACATCAATATGTGATAAATTTGTCTCCTGTCATTGTCTCATTTCCTGCACTTAAAATAAGAAATCATGTTTCCTTTTATCCCCTACTTGTATGGCAGCCACATAGGAACAACTGGACGAGGATATTCATTCCAAAGCTATTTTTCAAATAAGTAAATCAAAGCAGTATGTTGCCTCGTTGGTCTGTTTTCAATGTTTAGTGGTCTGGGAAATGTTGTCACATGCTCTGACAACATTGTTAGCTACTACTGTGTCAGTCCTTACTGGCACAGGGGCTTAGTGTTGTGCAAAATGTCCTTGGTCGATGAGCAGTGAGGTTTTACTTAATATATTGCCCCTTCATCTTTCGTGCCGATGATGACCCGACTGCACAAAATCTCCCTCCGGGGGAATACTGCAATCTGTTTGTGGTTTGCAGCTGGATGCAGGTGATGGAGCCTGGAAGACAGCTGTGTGTGAGTGGGACTGGAGTACATATGAAGCCAAGAGGCTGGCTTCCAAAACCTGTAAAGAAACTCGGTAACGAAAGTGAGCAGCGTTTTAAATTTAAACAGCAGTAATGAACAAGAGATAATCAGCCTTTGATTAACTGCTCAGTGTCTGCAGAGCTTATGAGAAGACACTGCCAACAGAGAAAGTGCGAGAAGAAAATGAGCACAGTTGGTGGTAACTGCAAAAAATATAAAGGCACTCACTGCAAATCCTCTTTATACACATATGATTGAACAAATGATTAAAATCTCTGCAATGTAAACACATTTTTGAGATTTTAAATCTCGGAGGTTGAGAGTGCAAACTGCAACGAGAGCCTTAGATACGAAAAACAAAATGTAGATTAGCCGTAACTTGTTTCCTGAAATGCTTTGATTTGGTCTGCACATTTGAAAGAAAATACATTTGCTAATTGATTGGTGCATATTTTGAAACAGCGCTGCTGATTGGTTTACCCATGGCCTGATTACTATTTATGTTGGAGTTTCAATGGCTTCCTGTTGGGCTATCACATCATACAAAGCAGGGGTTCAATCTGCAAACACTCTTTTACAGATACATTTTCTGCCGCTCTTTAATGAGTTAATGAAATTGTTTTGTTTTTATGTTTCATGTTTTTATGTTTCATGCAAGTCCGGTCACTTAACATTCACATTTTTTCACATGAGGTCTTTAGACATAGGGCGAGATCATGGGATTATTTGTAGGAATCTTTCAAGGTAAAACATACAGTACTTTTAAAGTAACAAAGCCGTGTATCAGTTTTGGGGCCCATAAAAGTGTAGAATAAAGGAAATTGAATTTCCCCTCATCATACTGACAAAGTCAAATTGTGACATTTGATTGCAATAAAAAAAATTACAAAAGCAAACGACTTTAATGTGATCTCTTTGCATTACTCAGCAAATTCTGCAGGTCTTCATGCAAGCTCTTCATGTGATCTTTTAAGAACAGACAGGTGGCAGCAGAGAGCCATGAGGCCAGAGCAGCGAATGCCCTGGGGTCCCATGCAACACAATTAGAATGTGTCTTTTATTCCATGCCAGCTCCATCTTAGTGTCAGGACACTCAGAAGGTAGAAAAGCAAGGGAACAACGGCAGAAGTGACAAAGCCAAAGAAATGTAGTGAGCAGAAGGTGAAGCCATACACATGCTGGTGATGGGACGCAAGCCCTGGATAACACTGTAAGTAATGACATTTCTTGAACATGTTTTATGTCATTTGGACCGTCTGAATGGCATTTCATGGAAGGCAAATGGGCTTTAGCACACAAGTGATATCATTAATGAAAAAACTGAACAAGCTGATGATTTGCCATTTAATTAAATCACATATTTAAAATATGTTCATCATGATTCTTTCTCCCTATGTCTTTTATGGCCACACAGAGGGCCCTTTTTTAAAAGCATTTTTGGTCTGGTGTCAGCATTTTGGCACAGGGGAGTGATTTAAGGAGGCATGGCATGCTTGCCATGCCCTTCACCTGACTGTTCCAGTCTGTTTGTATGCAAACAATTAAAATGCCAAAGCCCTTTTAATTAGCTCCAGGGTACAGATTGACAGCTCTGGGTGTTGGTGATAGCACAGTAACCAGCTATTACTCTAAATATTTGGTGCGTTGCATAGTTCAGACCATAAGCGTGGGATATGGATGAGTAGTAGGTTTGTTTCTGTTTTTCCTATAGTTGACAGTCTACTTGTTTTGTTTCATTTGGCATATTCATAGACAAAACAATAGTACTTGATAAGACAAGTAGAAGTTTTTTTTTAAGGTTATAACCTCAATTAGTGCTCAGATCCAATGTTTCAAAATGTGTCATCAACACCGCTTCGCTGTACCACCTTGAACCAATGTTGATGTTGACCTGAAGATTACAAAGTTCAACCTAAATCACCGAGCTACAGCTCAAAAGCTTGGGACAAAACTCATAGACGTCTCTTAGGTCTGAGCATTTGAGATTTAATTGATGGTTAATCTCTTTGAAAAGAGATATTGATTACCACTTTTTAATCAAATACCTTTAGGAAAAAGGGTAAAAATACGATTTAAACTTCCACCTTTAATTTTTTTCAATGCAAATTAAAGAAAAAAAAGTGGATCCAAAATAATAATAAATAAATAAATAATGGTAAAATAAAAAAAAATACCTACAAAGAGCACTAGATGCTAGTATGACCCTGTTATTGCAGTGTCAAGCAAGTTTTTGTTTTGATCTTAAAACCACTCACAATAATTGTTTGTCACTGAAATGAATTGAAGTGTAATACCTCAGTAATGCATATCTCCACAGGTTCTTAGAAGTTTATTGCACTGACAGCTTTGGCAACAGCATCAAAGACAAGCACAGGCAGATGAAGAATAGAAGTTCCATGGCATGTGTTGGATATCACATTTCAGTTCAAGTGGAAATCCTGCAAACGTCTCTGTGCGTTTCAACGCATTCACTCTCTCTCCAATTAAACCTGTTGTTTTCACTCAGCCAAAAATATTTTACTCCATAGGTCACCTCAGCGGTTGTTATAAGAAAGCTGCTGCTATTGTTTACAGTCTGCTGATATTGTGTGGCACTACGCTACTAGACAAGTGACAACATGCTGCTTACTGATCTTTCCCCATCCTGAAAAACTGGCAAATTCTGTTGATTGCGTTACACTTCAGAACCAGTTCTTTATAATTTAACAATAGGCGACCAGATGATATACTAGAGTGATCCATATTTTTTGTACAATTTAAAAAGTAACCCACGTTCAGTATACAGGCTTTCAATAACATGACTGAGCAGTCATGCACCCTGATCGTGACCCCTGATTTTGGTGCTCGTGGATATGACATTTATTATTTACAGCAGTGCAACTGTGTGAGAGTACATCTGAGTCTCCGGCGAGGCCCAAGTTCACTGCAGGCCCCTTCCACCATTCTTAAAATGTAATTATAGGGTGAACTTTTTTTTTTTTACACAGGCATTTGACAACTCTGTTTAAATTTTCCATTTGCGTAATATATTGAGCCAAGATGATTTGTTAATATTCACAAGTTGTTATTTAACATAATTTCTGATTTTTGTAAAGAAAGAAGAAGAAAAAGGGGGGACATTATTTTAATTTATTTATTTTAGATAAACGTAAAACCTACAAACATTTATTTTGTTATATAAATAAATATTTTACTGTAGGAATAAACGTATTTTAGTGTGGAAGTGTGTGGTTGTGTTTTGGCTTTTACAATGATGTAAAAGAAAAATAATGAAAACAACGAACTAGGCCAAATATTGGTGTTATGTTGGACTACTCAAAGTGCACTGAAATTTTACTCTCAATTATTACAAGATATAGCCCAGCTTAGTACACATATTATGGACAAATTTCAAACAAAACACAAGTGAACTAAAACAAAAATATAAATAGGATTCCCCTATAAATAGGATTTAGAATAAAAATTTCCACATCTCTTTAAAAGTATGCTAAATGGTTAACAATTTCCGTGTTCAATATTAAATAAATACAGCCCATGTTTTATGTAAAAGAGACAAGTCCTATTTTCCCCCTCTAATTAAGGGATTTTAATAAAATAAAATAAAGATTAGGCCTGTGGGGTTTATCTAGTATATGCTTTTTTCTAAAAGCATGTATTCCCTTAAGGCCAGACCTTAATGTTGAGTGTGTGTTGATGTTTAGAGATGGCGCAGATCCAGCGCGGCGCAGTCCACCCCATCGGGACTGTATTAGATCTCTAATTGATGCCTCTCCCCTCGTCGCTGACAGTTACGCACAAACCAGGATCAGGTCACGGAATTTAGCGCGACCTGAAGAGGTGGCGTAGACCGCCTTCAGAGCCTACAGTGGATTTAAAACATAATGAGGTGAGTCGAGGTTCAGCTGCTTTGATTGTAAAGTAACTTTTTAAACTTAAGGATTGTCGGATAACCGGAGCGGAAAGGCGAATCACTTGTTTTTATGACGATTTTAAAGTAATGAGTGAGCTATTTTTACACTACTTCTATTTAACAGACGTCATGGCTAATTTACATGTGAAATTAAACATGTTCAAATTTGGATCAATCCACAATCTGCCTTAAAGCTGGAAGGTTACATTTTATTCACAGTAAAAAACAACAACAAAAAAAACAAAAAACAAACCCGAAAAATATGTTTTGTTATGTTAAAGATTTACACGTGTTTTAAAACATCAAAGCAGCCCCATAAAATAAGACCTCGAACAGATATTTGTTGGATTTACTTTCAGGATTATGATAATAACGATAACTCTGTCACAAATCTTAAATACTTAAAATGAATGAATTATTAATTTTGTGATGGAATTTACATAATAGGTTTGGAAATTTTCCGTGAGCAGACGTTATAGAGTGTAAAGAAAGGTTTCCAGCTTCATGAATATTACATCTCTCCTTCAGTTCAAGTATGTGACATTGCTGCTTTCAGCAGTTTATTTAGTCTGCTATTCATCCTCAAAGTGCCCTCACTTGTTCTGCAGAGCATGGCTGAGAAAGTAAAACACACCAGGGCCATAGGACGAAGAAGACGAGAAGAAAAAGAAGAAATCTCACACAACAAATTCTTTTTTTTTTTAACCAGTTTTGCTTTGTTTTATTTTATTATTTGCTATTTGCTATATAAAAACACTATTAGTGAACATGTATGAATTTATAAAAGCTTGGACTGAAATAAGTTTGAGGATGAAATATATAAACATTAGAAGCTGAATAATTTTTGGATAATCTTTCTTATTGTGCTGCACTTTGACTAAACCGGCCTTTAAGTATATTGTTATGTTTGTGTCAAACAGGAATGTTATATGAATTATTTCTTCAGTTCCCCAGAAGTCACCTTTCTCTGTGGTCAATAAAAGTGTTGACATCGTCATGCCATTTGCGTGTATTCTAATGTGTGTGTGTGTTTGCTTGTTTTCATGCTTGTCACAAAGAAATAGAGAGTGAGAGGTCGGGGTGGGACTGCCATCGCTGTTGAATTTATGAGCGTGTCATGAAGCATCTCTGACGCAAACAGACTAAACAGAGTCTGTGCGTACACGCAAACACATACATACATCCTGCCCTCATCAGAGAAAACATCACGTGACATCAACAACAGCACAAAGCCAAACTGTGGAATTAATCATAAAGATCTATTTTATCCATTGACCAGTTGAACTGTAAGGCCGTGTGGCTGCTGTGTGGCTGCAGCTCTTAAAAGGAAAACTATACTGGTGTCAGCAGAAAACGTAACTGGTAAAGTCATGTTTATAGTGAAACAGTCCTCAGACTAACCCACCCATCCCCATCCTGCAACCCCTCACTGTGGTTTCTCTTTTTGCACCTTGTGTTTTGCTTTTGTTGTAAGTTTCTTCCCGGCACTGACAAAAGGGGACAATGTTGTCTGTTACATAAGACCAACCTAGTATTGTTAAGAGTTGGGTGACTTTGGAAACATACATTGCACTTCTTGATATGGAAGATTAGGCTCGGATGAGGATGTTCATTCCCCCTCCTTTTCATCTATGTTTTGACTAGCATGCCAGCTCTCTGACTAAGAGTGAAGTGCCGACACCCCTGGAGTGGATTCTGAGCATACCAAGGAGGAGATGCCTTTGAAAGGACAGATGTTCCTGGGCTTAGCCTGCCTCCTACCCAACCTACCCACCACTCGCCTTCCATTGTATATTTGTTCTTGCTCTATAAATAACTGGCCGGTATAAGTCACAGAAAAATGTAACCGATGCGCCGCTGACCTCTGAGCCCCTCATCTTTGGGAGTGAAAGACACTTTGAAAAGAAGCAACTAAAGCATTAGAAAAGTTGGCTGATGCAGACATGGTAAATGGATTTGGGCTAAGGGACACAGTGAGCACACCCATTTTGTCCACATAAAGACCGGTCTTGATGTTTGGACCGGCTCAGCTGTCTTATGTAACAGCAGTTTGTAGTTGTGACAGATGAGGCGTGATGGGCTCAAGCCAGTTCAGCCACATAATCCAAAAATATACCAGCCATATTTGTGGGATAATATAAGCATATTTGGAGTTCTTAAAATTTCAAAACTGAAAGCCAAGTTTGCTTGCCTGAGAATTTCCATGTCGGTGGAAACAAAATGATACCCAATAAAAATATTAAAAAATATTTATAATATTTAATTTTTCACCGAAACTTCTGCGCCACTTCAAGTACCAAAAACAATCACGTGTTGCTAGTTTCCACTTGAAGCCTTTTTGCAAGTTTTGTGAGACTGCAGAGTGTTTGTCCTCTCGCTGTGGCTGCAGGGATGAATGGATGATTGTTCATTGGCCCTTGTGACAACCCTCCTGGGGCCCATCAATTCGCCGAGCCTCCTGGAACATCAGGTCATGGCTAACCAGGCTCTGAAGCGGCAGCCTGGCCTCACTGTGCTGATTTTTCCCCAGTTAGAGCTCAGGACCTCCAGGGCGCACAGCTGGGTCCCTTAAAAAAGCCCAGCTGAATGGTTTTAGAAACACTGCAGCTCCTCTTACCCCACACTCGCTCTCCATCGAGAACAGCGCCGATATCAGATACTGTGTTTTTTACTTGATATGTTCATCTTTGCTTGCCAAAGCCCCTGGAAACCATATTAAAGTCTGTGTTCCATATTTTCAACCAACGGGCCTCTTTAAGTCGAAGAATTTGTCCAAAATTTCCATCAACCCCTTTCTCCTTTTCTTTTCCCACATTTTCTCCACATGTCTACATTTCCCTGCCTCTTCCCCACATGCTCACACACATCTTAATTTTCTCTCTTCCCCCCCTCCAGCTCTGCTATCGTGTTGTATCAGTTACAGCTGACCACCAGTCAGGTGGGTCTGCGGGAGATTTTAGATCACGGAGGGGCAGCCAGCTCTCTCAATGCCTACAGCCTGCTCCTAGACTCGAGTCCCAGGCCCCGCTGAGGCCTTGTCATGGGCAGCGCAAAGAGACACCTGGCCAAACTACAGAAACACTTCCAGCTGCAGGCTGCCTGATGCTCACCACGGAGAGAATTCAGGCCAAAGGTGGAGAAGTGGAGCACAACTATTTCTCTGGGTTTGAGTCCATATCGTGTTTATTTTAATTGCAGCACCAAGCATTTGCCCGTAGAATCGGAGCTGTTTTTCTTTTTCTTTAAAAAAATAATAATTGCACAACATCACAATAAAATTCTCATTCCACAAAACAAAGTGAAAGAGCTTTAAGACTTCTCTCAAAGTGAAAGTGGAGCAACTCAAGGGCCAGAGAAAAAAACGCCTGAGAGAGAACAACAGCTCCCTTTTCTCTGCAACCAGTTGACATGAAAGACCACATTATGTCTGAGATTAGAGGCAATTACACTGGGAGTGCGCTTCAAGACCTTTGTTTGCCAACATGACAGGAGGGAGCAGGGCTGTAATTTGATGAGGGGGCTGCGCGAGTGAGAAACTCTGCATGGCAAGCTCCTGGCAGACGGGAGGCAAAGAGAAGCCTTTGTCCGTGGCGCGACCAAGCCTTTTGGTAGAAATGTGACTGTTTAGATGAATCTGATGAATCTGAGATAAATTACTTGCAGGAGACCTTTTTTAAAAAAAAACCATTATCAGATTTATAACACTGCTACTATATTAGGCTGAAAAGCAAGTTTAAAGAGACTTTTAACCCTCTGGGGCAGGTACGTTTATGTTTGCCTTTTGTTCCACATGACAGTTCAAAAGCCGCTTTCTCTATTGTTTCAGCATTTATATTAATTCAAATGCCACAATTGTGTCGGTTCATTCAAATGTCACAAATACTGTAAACACGAGATTCAAGCTGAACCTGCGGTCAAACAAAAGCAGCACACCAGCTCTTCGAGACGTGACATCTCCTCTATTCTGGCCCGGAGCATTGTTCGAGCACACTGAGAGTTTTCAGGACAGGAAACGAGCAGCTTGTTCCAGACCCACCGGCAGAATGGAACACGTCTTTATTTGAGGGAAGTCATTCCGCTGATATATAAAACACCAAAGCAAGGTTTCCTTCCCCCTCACTTTCCTGGTGCTATCCCCTTCAAAAGGACGTGTCCTTTATACTGGGCTCACATGCACACACGGGACCAGAAGAAAAATAAACAGAGGCAATTTAAATATCAACCAAACCTGCCTTCTGTTTAAATGGAAGGGCTACTGCGGCAGCTCGGCTTCAGCTCGTCCGGTATGCTGTGGCGCTAACGTGTTCAGGCTTTGGATTCATGGTTGGAAAGCAAACTGAGAAGCAACAACAAAGCAAGGCTATAGTAGAAAATTATTATAGTATAGTATCTAATATAAGGCAGCTTATCCCAGAAACAGAAAACCACACAAATCCAGAGGGCTTAATGGTAAAAGATGGCATTCAAAGGTAAATCTATTGCATTTGTTGACTTGTTTTGTGATTGAGCATTTATTGAGACAAATGATAGCTTTAGTCTAAAATAAATAGCGCATTAAGATATTTATTTTTGCATGAATAATGAAGTCCATGTGTTGTAGAAAGTTATTGGTAAGTATCTTCATCAGCACCTAATCCTATACTTTTTCACCCCCTGCTGTCTTTGCTGTTCTCTTTGGCCGAATTTTCCCATAAGGCTGTGTGAAAGGAGGAAGAGGACCACCTATTAAAGTGAAATTGTAGGAGTGATGGATGGGAGGCTGTTGAGGGGGAGTAGAGCAGCCAGCATACACCTCAGGGGAGGGGAGGATGATGAACAGGGGGTGGGAGAGCAGGGGAGAGTTCACCAAATCCAAACTCACACCTCTTGCTCTGGGGTGGAGCGGGTGGAGACCTCCCATGCTGACTTGAAATTAGACTTAATTCTCAGAAAAAACTTTTGCCTGTTTATCCTAAAATGTCCATCCCTTCCATTAAAAAATATGACTTATTTTAAAAAAAAAATATGCAGCCGTAGCAATTCTAGTTGTGCTTTATATTCTTAGATGAAAGCAAGAAATTCTTCAAGAGATATGTATTGATGAGCAAATCAGTCAGTGCTCATGTGTTCCAAGCATTTGTAGCCATTTCACATGCATCATCATTTTTATCCAGGATGTCAGGTCAACTCGTAATACTCAAAAACATGCAGTTAGCTAGCTTAGCTTAGCCAAACATATAGCCATACTTTCTTTTTGTATTTCTCAGATGAGATTTAACTTAAAAAAAAAAAGAAGATACATGTTTATCTACTGATTGATAAATTATAAAATGACTATGTTTGGTCATTTTACAACAGGTGACAGTGAAAATGATAAGAAAAAATGCAAGTTTTTCATTATTTTTAATAAACAGTACAGACTAAACTTAAATACACACCCACGCAGATACATTTAGGCACAATGCTACGTAAACGTATGGTGCACAGACCTTAACCGGTTTCCACAAAACAATAAAAAAAGGAAGGGATGCTTTTGAAAAGTGCTCACCGAAAGTTGAGTCTTCTAGAGCAAAAATGATATTCAAAAAACAAAAAACAAAAATCCCCTGCTGGAATCAACTTTGTCACTTTCTAATCCTGTAGTCAAATTTCACGACAATAAATTCATAAAGAGGCAAATGGAGAGGCTGTAGCACTTGTGGTTTAATGCCTGGGGTGTGGAGGAATTACTGCTGTAGTAGTTTGCCTTTAACTGTCAGGAAATGACCCATAATCTGCAAGCGTTTGACTGCTGCAGCATTCCTGTGAAATGACACAAGTTGAAGTAGATTAGGGGTTGGGTAATTAGCTCATTAGTCAACATAAACACATGGCATGGCTCCCCCATTTCTACCCACCACCCCCACAACTGCCCACAGCTGGTGGCAAAAGTAAGTTCTCACCAGCACACGCAAACACACACACTCAGTCTCTAGCTCTCTCTCATACACACACACACACTCACACACACACACACA